CCTTGGCCAGAATCGAACCTGGGACCCTTCAGTCCATACACTGATGCTCTATCCACTGGCTAGGGCCAGCTTTTCTTCCCAGTACCCACAAGTGTGTGTCAGTTTCCTTGGCCTCTTAGTGAAGTCTTAACCACTCCGTTCCTCTTTTTAGAGTAGTTGGTATTTTTCACTAGGTTTTTACCTTCTCATATGCTCTGAGATTTCTCAGTTGATCTTCTAACTTGGCATCTCTATCTCTAATATTGTTTCCCTTCCTTTTGTTTTAGGAATCTTGGTGTAGAGGGAGTTGAGCTTCTGGGTTTTAATGACAGCTCTACCATTGATTTTCTCAGCTGGAAAGATCCTGGTTTAGGCCGGTCAGATGTCCAGCCCAGATGATCTGTGTGTGTGTGTGTGTGTGGTGTGCACGTGCATGCTTGCCTATGCATGCACACATGTTTTATAGCCTTAGGAAGCCTTAATGAACTAACAATGATTACATGCTTAGATCTCTTGAGACAGACTAGAGAAAACTTTTATGTAGAAGAGTAGGGACAATATTTTTATTTTTGACTAGCCAGTTGTATAAATGTATAAAAGTGGGGTGCATCACGCACAACATTAATTGAATGTGTGGAACACTGAAGCATGTCTCCTTGTCGCTTATTTAGCACATTAATATCTACCTTTACACATCTGCAAATTATAGACTCGAGGTAGTGAATGCTAGAATTAGTATTGTATAGCAGTTTCTGGGAGGTTCCTTCCATTGTGACCCTTTCCTCCTTTCTTTGTGAGAAACCAGGAAAGAGAATGGAAAATCCTGTGGGAAGATAATTTTAAAGGTACAAACTTAAATACTTGGTACAAAAGTCACCTCTCGCAGCGATGTTAGCCTGCCTGTGTTGTTCCTATACACCAGTAGGCTTAGCATAATGGCGTACAAATGGCATCCTAAAAGTGTGTCATTATTTTGGTTCGGAAATAATGTCTTGTGCTCTCACGTGGGGCTCTTCAGTTTGGGAATAACAGAGACTCACTTACACTAGTTCAAGAAACAGATTTATTGAAAGAACCTAGTAGGTCCCATGAAAATCCAAGGACAGGAAGCACTTCACAGGCGGAGCTATAGACACTGGAACTGGAAAACAGAAAACAAGGCTGTTTTCTGTGTGTCTTTGTAACTGGGGTGGCCAAGTCCTAGCCCCTCTGCCTTTCTCTCTTATCTGTATACTGGCAGACTTGTTTAGGGCAATGATGGCCACCGCAGGCCTTCTAGATGATGATAACTCTCAGAGTTTCCTTTGTCTTCTGCGCTGCCCGAGTCTTGATCTGAAATTCTCAAAAGATGAAGTTCTTTGCCTCAACCTATCTTTCTGCCCACAACCACAGGTTGTAGGATTTTGCTCAGCCTGTAGATTGGTTACCCTTTTGTTAGATGCTCTGCCCCCCATATCTCCAGTTGGCTGTGGTTTGGAGGGTGAGAAAGGGTCTGGTACTTAGAAATACCTGGTGGTTCTCGCTTGGGATGCATTTTGGGTGAAAGGATGATGGTAGACATACCTTATTGGAATTGCTTTGTAACTTACAAGGGTTTCTAAAAAGCAGCATCTCTATGACTTTGCAATGCTTTGTGGCCATGTGCATTACCTTGTTCTGGCAGTGGCTTCTTAAACTTGAGCTTCACAGTTTTCTATGTCCTATTAAACCTGTTAGGGACCTTGGCACCTTTATGTGTTTTTTTCAGCACCCACTCAAATTCATCCTTGCCCTGCCTCTTCTAAGATATTTATAAACAAATGATCATGTGTATTCACAACAGAGGCCAATATTTGATAGCAGAGTTCTATGGTGAATTTTGAATAGGCAAATCTTCTAATAAAAAATTAATAGCCCTAGCCGGTTTGGCTCAGTGGATAAAGTGTCAGCCCATGGACTGAAGGGCCCCGGGTTTACTTCTGGTCAAGGGCACGTACCTCGGTTTCAGGCTCACCCCAGGCCCTGCGAGTGTGTGCTGGAGGCAACCAATCAGTGTGTCTCTCTCATATAGATGTTTCTCTCTCTCTCTCTGTCTCTCCCCTTCCAGTCCACTCTCTCTAAAAATTAATGGAAAAATATCCTCGGTGAGGATTAACAAAAATTAATAAAATAACCTCCATAATGTATTAAATTTTCCTGTGTGCTTTTCTTAAATTCTGGGCTAGGTTGGATCTGTTTGGCTAGTTGCTTGGTGAACCTTCACCCTGCTCTTTATGACTTGGCCTTTTAAATAAATAATCAGTCTTGTGTGTTTACAGGTTGAGTGTTCTAGCCTGGGGGATGTATGTATATGCCACACCAACAGTTTTGTTAGTTACTTTATGATCATTATCTTATTGTTCTTGAAAACTGATCCTTAAAACAATGAATAGCATTTATGTTTAGTGGCAGTAATAATAATTTCCTTTTAAAGATTGTTTGGAGCCTGGCCGGTGTTGCTTAGTGGTTGAGCGTTGACCTATGAACCAGGAGGTCATGGGTTTGATTCCCAGTCAGGGCACATGCCTGGGTTTTAGGCTCAGCCCCCAGTAGGGGGTGTGCAGGAAGCAGCCAATCAATGATTCTCCCTCATTGATGTTTCTAGTTCGCTCTCCCTCTCCCTTGCTCTCTGAAATCAATTAAAAAAATTTTTTTAAAAAGATTGTTGGTAATTACTTGCTCAGATGTATTGCAGATAAAAGTAATTTGGTAAATTATCATATTTAAAATGTTGGTTTCTAATTAAAATTAGAAAAGTCTTATTTGAAAGCTTGTTATAAGTAGAACTTGCATTCTACCCCAGAATGAAAGACATGAAATTATAAGCCAGTAGTTGAATTTTGGTTATGTGGGTGATGTTTAAAGTTTTTACATTTTTATGTTAGTTCACTTAAATAGAAGTGAAGTAGAAGTTTGAGTACATGTGTGTTGTATACACCTCAATACCCCATGATCATTCATGTCCTGGGAGAGACAGTGACTGAATTAACATGGCCCAGCCTTGGCTTTCCCGGCAAGTGGTCCTCAAATCTAGCTTCTCTTCAGAATTACTTGCTAAGCTTTTTAAAATATAGATTCAACACAGACCTACTGCATCAGAATCTCTAGGGGCTCATTTTATAATCTGCATTTTTTTTAAAAAAAACTTGGTAGTGAATTCCACATACAATGAGGTTTGGGAACCACGCAAGGCCTCTAGTTCCTAGTCTGACCAAAAAGAACATTTCTTGCCCTGGCCGGGTGGCTCAGCTGGTTGGAGCATCATCCCATGCACCAAAAGGTTGTGGGTTTGATTTCAATTAGGGCACATACCAAGGTTGTGGGTTCAATCCCTGGTCCAGTGCATACAGGAGGCAACTGATCTATGTTTCTCTCTTCCCTCCCTCCCTCCCTCCCTCCTCTCTCTCGAAAAATCAGTTTTAAAAAAAGCATATCCTCCAGTAAGGATTTTAGGAAAAAGAATATTTCTCCTTGAGAACTTTCTCATGGGCAAGAAGATTGTTCCATTTAGCAAATGCTTGCTAGCTGTGTATCGTGTCCAAGGCATGATGATGTGCTATGGGAATTTCTAAAGATGTGTATGAATGTAGATTTTACCATTACTACCCCCCAAATACTTGAATGGCTGGTGTATGTGAGTCTCATTGTGGTGGTTTGAGTTTTTCAAGCATCATTATGTGATTTTTAATTACAGCACTGATACACCATAATTTGTCATGATGCTTTAAAAACTCTTATTCACATGTGGTTTTAGGAAACACACTGGGTCTTTGGGTCTCAAGTTGATGGCTTCTATCTGGGTTCTGCCATCTCTTCTACATGTTGCATTTGTGTAATACCTTTTCTTAATAATACCATTATACTCTCATGCCATTGGGCAAGCAAATGCCATGAGGCGATATCGCAGTTAGTGGGCACTTTTTCTTTTATGGTGAATGGAAGAATGATGTCAAAACACCTTTAAAGGTGTTATATACTTGGAGGAGTTGTTTTGAGCAGATGTATTGGCTTTGTGTATGGATAGCAGAGCATCACTTTGAGATTTTAGGATTTGTTGGTTTAAATAAAGTAGCCTTGGAGGTTCTTGGTTGGCTTTGTGCTATTGTGTCACTAGGTGGAGATGTAGCGTTGTTTGGTGCTATAGCCAAAGCAGAAAGAATGCATCTTGATTTCTTTTTACAGAAGTACTTTACAGATATTTAATGAGGTTTATTATACCCTAGGAAAAAACCCTGCAAATTTAATATAATTCTGTATTTTAATTTTTTGGGGTTTCAATTAAGTCCTACTTTAATGTTTGTTTTCACAGTGATCAACTCTTTTTTTCCTCTCCTCTTACTAACATTTCCTCATTATTTCATTTTGTCAGTTATTCTAATGTCTCTGTGGTTCTTTTAATGTTTTAATTCTAAAAGTTGAATAATGGAATCTGAATTTTTATTCCGAGGTCAAATAATATATACAATTTTAATTTGCTAGCAATATGAGATCAATGAACTGAAACTTACAGTCGGAACACACCTGAATCTTATCTTTGTATTATTTTAGGTTGATATGTCAAGTTTTAACATATTTAAATTCTATAGGGCTTTAAAAAAATTTTTTTATTGATTTCATAGAGGAAGGATGAGGGAGAGAGAGACAGAAACATCAGTGATGGGAGAGGATCATTGATTGGCTGCCTCCTGCATGACCCCCACTGGGGATCAAGCCCGTAATCCAGGCATGTGCCCTGACCAAGAATTGAACCGTGACCACCTGGTTCATAGGTCAAAGCTCAACCACTGAGCCACACCAGATGGGCAAGCCACAAAGGCTATTTTTAAAAAAGGAAGTAGTTAATTAATTAAAAATTCATCAAGTTAGAAATTGTCCTTGTTTGCTTATCTATTATGTCTATCTCTATCTATCTATCTATCTATCTATCTATCTATCTATCTATCTATCATCTGCTTGTGCCTGTGTTATTAGTGCAGCAGCTAAACTTTTTTCTTTTTTTGCAGATGCGTATGAAACCGCCAAGATGTTATGTGAACAGTATTACATGGTAGCTCCTGAGTTGGAAATTGAAGAATTCAATGGTAAAAGAATAATTTTAACCTTAAGTACAAAGAAGTTGACCCAAATCTGATTACTCCTAAGCTATATTTAAGCGAGATCCTAAAGTTTTGTTGATTTAAAAAATCTTTTCTATATTTTTAAAACCTTTTCTATATCTGTGGTCAACTAGGTATATTGTTGTAAGGAGTTTTTGTACAGGAATGTGTAATCTATTAGAACTCAAAAGTTCGTGGCACAGAAATAATCCAGTAGAAAATGCACAAAGGTATAAATAGGCGATTCTCAAAATAGCAAATGCAAACAAACAATAAACCTATGGGAAAGTGTTTAACTTTATTAAACAAAGAAGTACAAACAAAACCAAAGAGAAATGCCATTTTTGTCTTTCAAAATGGCAATGATTGAAACATTTTATTGCCTCGAATTATTGCCCAGAAAAATACTTTCTTACCAACACTTACACATTTTTGGTATAAGTTTAAATTGGTCCAGCCTTTCTCAAAAAATGCCACCAATATTCTTTCTCTTTGACCCAGTAAGTTAGTAATAGTCTTATTCTTTGGCCCAGTGAATTAAACTTCAGAAAGGGTATTATAAGAAAATATAGAAAATATAGATATGCACAGTTGTATGTACAAGAATGGTGAGCACAGTGGTTTCCTTATAGAGAAAAATGAGAAGATCCAAGTTTTCTACAACAGAAGACATTAACATTGTGGTTCACTCATAAGATAGAATACTATGCAGCCCTTTAAAATAATGCTTTAAGAGAATCTTTTAAACACACGCTATAGAAGTTTGTAATAGTGCAAGTTCACTGGAAAATATTTTGAAGGATTTCTAGCACATAGGGAGAAACAACTCTGTGTGGAGAGTAGGGTTATAGCTGATTTTTCTATTAATCGTATGAGTCTATATTTCCATGTTAAATTTTTTTAAAATTTGTAAGTTACCAAAAAAAAAGACATACTCATTGTAAAAATACAAACAATACAGAAATATAGAGTAAAAGTGAGTCTCCACTGCTCTCTCAGTTCCATACAGAGCTTCATTTTTTACATAAATGGGGTTGGAAATATTCATGTTCTATGATGTTTTTTTCACTTTGCTTTGAAGATCTTTGCCTGTGTTGTCATTTAGAGATTATCCGTAGTGTAGATTGCCATAATTTATTTAATGATTTCCCAATGAAGGTGTGTGTGTGTGTGTGTGTGTGTGTGTGTGTGTGTACGTACGTACGTACATACGTACGTACGTACGTGTCTGTGTTTGGAGGGCTGGGAAAATTTGTGAACGTGTGGAAGTATTTCTGTACATTAGATTCCTAGAAGTAGAATGACTGAGTCTTACGGTATAAGCATTTACAATTAAAGATAAGCCCGGCCGGCATGGCTTAGTGGTTGAGCGTCGACTTATGAGCCAGGAGGTCACGGTTTGATTCCTAGTGAGGGCACATGCCCAGGTTGAGGGCTTGATCCCCCATGTGGGACGTGTAGGAGGCAGCTGATCAATGATTCTCTCTCATCATTGATGCTTTTACCTCTCAGTCTCTCTCCCTTCCTCTCTGAAATCAATAAAAATATATTTTTAAAAAGATAAACCAAATTCCTTCTTAAAATATACCAGAACTGCATTTCACTTATCACATGATCTCATTCATATGTGGGATATAATGATCAACATAATTTGTGAACAAAAATAGATCCAGAGACAAATGTCAGGGGAGGTGGGTAGGTTAGAGAGCAACCAAAGGCTTGTATGCATGTATATCAGCATAAACAATGGACACGGACACTGGGACGGTGGGGGCTTGCCCGGGGTGGGAATGGCTGGGGAGGGGGAGGTCAATCGGGGAAAAAGCAGACATATGTAAAACTTTAGATAATAACTGAGAGAGAGAGAGAGAGAGAGAGAGAGAGATTAAAATGTGAAAGACTTCAGGCTGCTGTTGTAAGACATTGGCCCCTACATTTTACTAGAAAGTATGGAATCAAAGCTGCTTTCAAAGTCCGTTGGGTCCTCTGAGTTGTGACAATGTTTTGAATCAATACACTATGAGAACCTAATGGACTTGGCTGGAGTATTCCTGAGTAGAAGCATCAGAATATTCTCTCTTCCTCCTGGCTATTCTGGGCCTGACCTCACTGTCCAGCTTTCTGTTTGTCAAACATGGAACTTACATTCACGGGTAGTAACCAGATGCTCTTCGGCATGAATAGCAGCCTCACTCACTGTAGGCCAGAGCAGCGAGCCTGTTCTTGCTGATTCCCAGGTGCAACTGTGTCAGCCGCTCCTTCCCAGCGAAGTGGTCACGCTGGGCAGCACACCCCACCAGGAGCAGAGCTGTATGACTACTTTTGTCATTGTCTCATGCATGACTTTTTAAGCCCTTTTTCATCACCACTAAGATAAATGAATGCTGGTGGTTAGAGGCAGCCTCTAGTTTCCTCGTGCTTTCAGGTAATGTATTTATGATTTATATTTATGATTTCTTAAATGTCAAAGCTCTTTGCGAGTGCAGTTCAAGACTCTGCTTTGTCTCTAGTAAGTTCTGTGTTAGAAATACAGGTTGGAGGTTGGCCCTGAACACCGTAAGTAGACACTATGGCTGCAGAATGAGAGAGAGTGCACGTGTCTCCAACATGATGGCTGACTGTTTTCAGGGAGCGGTCAGATCATATCCAGATACTTAATGGATTTATTTTCAGAGCCTGTGTGAACCAGCATAGCATTGCCTTTCAGGATGTTCCCGTTGCCCAACGGGTACCTTTAACAATAGTCAGCGACATGCTTGCTGCCCTTGCTCTGCATTTTAGACGAGTAAGACTGCCATTAACCCAAAAGAACAGTCATTGCTACCTGAGGATGTAAGTTTGGCTAGTTTGACACACCACCTTTTTTCCCCCTCAACTTTTTTCTTTTCCAATGTAAACCCCTGAGAAGTGGTAAATAGGATTATGTAGGACACATACTGTGTGAACACCACAGTATTTACCAGTCCTCACTAGAATTCGGAATATTGGGGGCCAGTTATAGTAAACTTCCTTTATTATCCTTTCTGTAACACATTTAACAGCTTTATTTACCTCAGATCTTTCTGACTGGCCACTTGTGGCAACCCATGTGGGTTCCTCCAATGACAAGTAGCTATTTCATCACACTTGTCCTCATTTCTCTTGAGAAATCAGTTGCCAAAACATTAAGCAAATAAACATTTCTAATTGACCTTTTCTGAATCCATATGGTAAGGCAGCAGGGCTTAGGGGGAGGATGGGAACTTTGTAGCTTAACCAGGCAGTAGAAATGTGGATTTGAACACTTAGATGTGGGTTTAGACAAGTCACTTCCTGCCTGACACCCAGCTTCTTCATCCATATGCTCGCTCTGTGGGGCAATCCTATATAATAAAAGGCTAATACACAAGTCAACCTAACCGTGGAACTACCAGTCACTATGACGTGCATTGACCACCAGGGGGAAGATGCTCAACGCAGGAGCTGCCCCCTGGTGGTCAGTGCACTCCCATAGAGGGAGCTCCGCTCAGCTAGAAGCCAGGATCACGGCTGCTGAGTGCAGTGGCAGTGGCAGGAGCCTCTCCCGCCTCCACAGCAGCGCTAAGGCTGTCGGACTTACAGGGAGCGAGCCTAAGCTGTCAGTCAGACATCCCCCCAAGGGCTCCTGGACTGTGAGAGGGTGCAGGCTGGGCTGAGGGACCCCCCCGCAAAGTGTATGAATCTCATGCACCAGGCCTCTGGTGAAAGGATAATGTTGCTGGGATCTCAAATACAGCACTAGGCACATACTGGATATTTTTATAAAATATATTTTTATTGATTTTAGAGAGGAAGGGGGGGGGGAAGAGAGAGAAAAAAAAATCAATGATGAGAGAGAATCATTGATCGGCTGCCTCCTGTACGCCCCACGCTGGGGATCGAGCCCACAGCCCATGACCTCCTGTTTCATGGGTTGACACTCAACCACTGAGCCATACCTGCCAGGTATACTGGATATTTTTAAAAGGGTGGCTACTAGAATTCAGGATTGACTTGGGAAAGATAAGACATATGGTTATGACTTGAATTTTTCATTTCTACATTAGTCTTTCCTCTCAGGAGGTTGATAGCTTTAGATTTGGTGGGAAACAAAAATTTCAACTCATGCTATCTATTTTGTTATAAGAAGTTTCATAGAAAGGTTATGTATCTACCCTGGGATAGTTGACCTCTAGTTTCTCAATATTGGGTACTTTTGTGGATATTTTCAGGCAAATGGTTCTATGCAGCAGTCAAAAAGCCATTACTGATAGCTCCATTAATACTGTAGAAATTAATTTTTAGTTAAGAGAATAGGCAGCATTTATTGACTGCTTACAATGTGGCGGGCTCTATGTAAATTAGTTTATCGCCATGATCTCATTTCATCCTTATATTAACCCAGTGAGATAAGTTCTGCGCCATTTCAGAAATGGGATGCCGAGGCCCAGATGGGTTAAGTACCTATTAATATATCTATTAAATGCCTAAGTCAGAACTTGGCCCCAATGTGACTTTGAACTACACTATATATTGTCTCTAATAGCCTTATGCATTGATTTTTGGGAATTGATTAACCATCTCTAAGTGCCCAGGTACCATTTCTCTTTTTCCTTCTTGAATCTCTTATTACAGCTGTTTTTTTTTCCTCTTAGAAATCTGTTTTTATTTTAAATTTTATTGTTAATTGCAGTTTACATTCAGTATTATTTTGTATTAATTTTGGGCATACAGCATAGTGGTTAGACAATCAGATATTCTCTCTGATATTTCCAGTACCCCAACTGGCACCATGCTACACAGTTATTACAGTATTATGTAATTGCTTATGAGGTAACTGCTTTTCTTTTGCTGCTTTTAAGATTCTTTGTCTTTAATGTTTGGCATTTTAATTATGATGTGTCTTGGTGTGGGCCTCTTTGAATTCATCTTGTTTGGGACTCTCTGTGCTTCCTGGACTTGTATGTCTTTTTCCATCACCAGGTAGG